AGGCTGCAAAAGATCCAGTGTTGCGGGCTGGCGGTGGGGAGACCACAGAAGGCTGGGGCGGGTGGGTAGCACACAGCTGTGGAAGGGGCTCAGCCCAGCCGGCGTCGGGGCCAAAATGGACATGCCCAGCTCTGCCCTTCTCCTGGAGGCCCTGCTGACGCCCCAACACGCAGGGGAGGGGAGGGGCTCGAAGGGGCGCCGCTGCGCCCCGAGCCGGGTGGTGTTGGGGTCTGTGCGGTCCCGAGCCCCCTGCCCTGACCGTGCACCCTCCACCCACTCACTGCCCCAGAAGCCCCCAGCAATGGCCCACACTCACCGGCCACCAAGGTTAGTTGTGTTGCCATTAAGCCATTTTACAGATGGGGAGCCCGAGGCCCAGGGAGCTCCTATCACCACTGGCGTTGCTGGCGCTTATTGGGCACCAGCTGTGTGCCAGGCCCTCACCCCATCCTACAGGCCTGGTCTGTGGGACCTGGGTCTGTTTATCTGTTTTTCATAATTTATTGCAGTGAAATTCACATAACATAAAATTCACTCTTTTAAAGGGAACAATTCAGTGGGTTTTAGTGTATTTCACTAGGTTGTGCAACCCTCACCGCTGTCCAGTTCCAGAACATTCCATCACCCCAAAAAGAAGCTCCCTCTCCATCAGCAGTCACCTCTCCTCCCCCTCCCCCAGTCCCTGACAACCACTAACCACTAACTCTCTGTGTCTGTGGATCTGCCTGCTCTGGACGTTTCCCATCAATGGAATCACACCCTGTGTGTCCTTCTGTGTCTGGCTTCTCTCACTGAGCATCGTGTTCTCAGGGTCCATCCACGCTGTAGTGAATGTCAGTGCTTCACACTTTTTCACGGCTGAGTGATGTTCCCGGGTGTGGAGGGATGTATATCCATCGTCCGTCGATGGTCTCTGGGTTGGTTCCACCCTGGCTGATGTGAATCACGTCGCTGTGGACATTTGTGTACATGTTTTGTTTGAACATCGATTTTCAATGCTATGGATTTGTACCCAGGAGTAGAATTGGGAGTTCAGAATGGGCCCTGCTTTATAGAAGGGGAAACTGAGGCCCAGAGAGGAATGTCAGTGGCTCAGGAGCCCAGAGTGGTCCCAGGGGTCCCGCCTGCTGATTGTTCAGATGGGGAAACCGAGGCCCTAGGGCGTTGGGGTCCAAGAGCATATGGTCTCAGCTTGGAGCCCCCAACACTGGCCCCCTCAAGAAAGGAATGTTTTTCCTTTTTTCAGGAGGGAAGAGGAAAAAGAGGCAGAGACACAGAGGCTGAGCCTCTCCCGCCCTCCTTCCCTCGATCCTGGGTGGGTCAGCTCGAGTCCGCTTGGCCCCTCACCCCGCCCCAGCCCTTGTTCCCGGCGAGGCCGTTGCCTGTTGCACCAGCCACAGTTGGAGCGGGAAGGGGCCGAGGCCACAGCTTCCAGTCCCACTTCCCCTCCACCTGCCGGCCCAACCCCCAGAGGCCTCCAATAGTTCCCTCCCTCCCAGTTACAACCCCCAGGGCTCCCGGTGCCCCCAGCTCCCCACCCAGTCCCAGGCCTTCCCAAGCCTCTGCCTTCAGGCAGCCCCCCAGCCCTGCACTAACCTGCCTGCCCCCGCCCCAGGCCTGGAGCAGAGAGGAGGACCCCGGGCCATCCCCCTGTCTTGTCTGATGCTGTGACTCCCCTCCCCCACCTCCCCCACCCCCACCCCCGGGAGGCTCCCGGGGCAGTGAGGGCTTCCGGCCAGGACCCCCGTGGGCAGTTACCTAGCAAGGTTGTGTGTGTGTGTTTTTCTTTTTCAGTTAAAGCTTTATCGAAATGTACTTCCCCTACCATACAACCCACCCGCTTAACAATTCAGCGGCGTTTAGTATAGTCACAGGGTTGTGCAACCACCACCTCTAATTCCAGAACATTCTCACCACCCTGAAAAGAAGCCCTGTCCCCATGAGCACCCACCCCCATGCTCTCCCCCAGCCCCTGACAACCAGGAACCCTCTGCCTGTTCTGGACGTTTCCCATCAATGGAATCACACCCTGTGTGTCCTTCTGTGTCTGGCTTCTCTCACTGAGCATCGTGTTCTCAGGGTCCATCCACGTGGTAGTGAGTGCCAGTGTCTCTCTCCTTTTCAGGGCTGAGTGATGCTCCCCTGTGTGTATCCTCTTTCATCAGCTGATGGTTCATCAAGCTCTTAACTGTATTAGGGAAGTCAGCCCCTGAGGTGGGGTTGTTCTCATGACTCCCCATCATTAACAGACGGGGAAACCGAGGCCCAGAGAGGTGGCGTTTCTAGCCCGGAATCACAAAGCACAGCAGAATGTGAACCGAGGCGAGGGACTCCGGACCCTGGGGTGTACCCACCCCGCGTCTGCCCCCAGAAGAGCCTGGATCCGAGAGAGGCACGTGCTGACCCGGCCCAGCCGCCGAGAGGACGGGCTGAGACGGGGAGAAGCATAGCAGAAAAAGGAAGGGAGTGGTGGGGTGGCAGCGACAGGGCTGGCACCTGTGCTCACCTCACCTCACTGCGCGCCCACACACTCCAATACTCTAACTTCTCAAATCCTCCTGCTGTCGCCCTGGGGGAGGGACTATTACTACGATCACCCCATTGTACAGGTGGGGAAACCGAGGCACCAAGCAGCCTGCCCCACTGGACCGGACAGTGCCAGTCCGAAGAGATGTTCTTGTCAAACGAGAAAAACCAGTTCTGAAAGCAAAAGGTACAGCAGCCCCAGGTTTCTGTGGAGACATGT